CCTAAACCATATGTAACTTATTTAATATCTATGTATAATAATTACACATGTGATTAGTAGAAAAACTGAAAAAGAACTATAAAACAAACAAACAAACAAGCAAACAAAAAAAACAACAACAAAATAAAAACAACAAGAAGAAAACAAAACATAACATTAAACAAACAAATAACAACAAACATGGAAGAGCATCGTCTATTATACTTCGTCAACTAAGATTACTACATGAGTATTAATTCATTGAAACATTTCTTCAAGCCTCTATAACTTCAAAAATATCATACAGATTGGCGTTCGTTATGTTTTATGATATATACATGTATAGGGAGCTGATATAAATGGTTAATTAATTTATCTATTCATGCATGGCAGTTCATTTAAAAATATATTTGAAGTATTTGTGTTCGTTGTAAACGATAAGTAAATGGCGTTTTGTTCTTTAAATGTAAAACAAAAATAAATCAAACCTAAAAGTCATTAAAGTCTGATTAGAAATTTCTTTGTTCTAACCATATCACAGCGGTATGATAAATTGTTGATAAGAGCCTTCTTTCTGCGAGAAGTTGATGCAGAATAAGCATTGAAGCTAAATTAAAATTTACTTAGAATTAAGCTGTATTTAGAGATTTGCCGTTTACAAAAATAAGGTAAATTCAAGTTAAATGTTGATGCTGCATATCAAAGACGCCGCCAAATGATGTGAACAGTCACAGACAATTTACAAAATCTGAATTGAAAATCGATCTCTATTACAGTTGAATATGCGAAGCACAAATCATTTTTTTCAACATGTTCTTGTTATGTGTCTGAAAGCCTGAAATATTTGTCTGTTGCGACAATGATTGAAACGTCTGGTCGAAGCAAAATAAATTGGATAACAAGAAAAATTGAAATGATTGGTAAACTTAAAATGAATTCAAGACATGTGCCGAAAATATGTCCATTTAAATATTGGTGCGAATTGCATAATGTTCGTTCGAATGAATTTGAGGACGAACTGTCTTTTATTTTACAAATAGCAAAAATATGTCTGTAATATATAATAATAGTTATGAATAAATTGATATATATTTAATCAATTCTTAGTTACGTATTGTTTTCTTATTTATAAAAGATTAAACTACTTGATTAAACTAAATATTGCATATTCGCCTAGACTCTAGATATAGGACCACTAAACGTAGTAAAAGAGAACAATGGTTAGTCACAGAATCCTTCAAAATAACCTATTGCAAATATTTGTGATGCATTTTAAAATAAACGTACGTTTTTCAATCAGTTAATCTGTTTTATAACTTAAATGTTAATTATTTCAATGAATTACATGTCGAACACGTTTTGCCTGTTTTGCAAAAAATATTTCCGCTGTGTCCGTATCACCAATGAATCTCCGTTGCGTATTTTATGATACCTCTTGTTCCCTGCCCGAATTTGGTTCCCATCATTAGACTAGAACGATCGACTATAGACTGGCTCATTGGCACGTTATTGCTACGCGCCCACAGGCGCGGAGCTATTTGTGTTTACTTTTTATTTTGTCCATGAGCCCGGATTTGATCAATTAATCCCTTCGATTTACAGCTAAAAATAAATCCTCATTCAAGAACTCCTTTCGATTTCTATATTGGTATCCCCAAAGGTTATTCGCAGCATGTCATATTAATGAATGAGAAACGGAAAGCAGTTCTGCTGTACGTGAATTCGAAAGCTATAAATGTTCTGATTTTTGACACTTAGGTTATAAATTTGTTATTTCCCTTTTTTAGTAGTACATGAAATTATAATTTGTTACATTTTGAATTACATTTACACACAGCATATCAAGTATACTATTAGTGATTGAATTTGTCAATATAATGAAGATTATAGGCAAAAGACTTTAATAATTTTGCTTTTGATAATTATTCTTAATTTATATTTATGAAATTAAATGTTTGATAAGAACATGTTGATATATTGGTTGTTTTGAAATAATTAAACTTTAGTATATAATGTTACATTTCATTGGCGTTATTGGTATTTCTTCAAAAATAATTCTTTAAGGGTATGACTGGTGACATGTCCGGGGGTCCGTACTCGACAGCTAAGGCCTTACGAGCGGATGGACCATCATTAAGCATAGGCTATAGAAAGATAGCATCATTGACAACAGAAACATTGATATGCAGTTTGAACATGAAGTGTAATGTTTTTTATGAATTGTTTTAAAGCAATTCAACAAAAACTTATATTGATCTCCCAATAAATCAATTAACAATAGTTTTCTTTTTATATATCACCAATGTCAAATAGCTTTTATAACATGTAACGCGTGTATAACAAACAAAAAAATCCTGAATTTGGTCTTTTTGAAATTTATCCCAATGTGTGTTCTACTTTCAGTATTGAAAGAAACCATTTTTTTTAATTTGACATGAAAAAATGCATGTAATATTACTATATTATTATATTAGTCCCTTTTGTTACTATCTGTATATTTGTTACAATTATAATAATGAAAAAAACAGACTTTGATATTTTTATCATCTTATGTTACTGACTACAGTAGTGACACAAACAGAACACAGTACAGTCACGTCACACAACATTTACAACTCTTGTAAGTCTTGTTTGTATTCAATGGAATTACTTTCTTTACCAGGTAGGAGTCAGTGAAAGCATTTTTTTATATTACATATCTTTCCCCTCTTTTTAATTATGGACAGTGCATTAGATAAGTATAATTATGCAAAAAATGGTTTACAAAACATTCGGAAAAAATCTACAATAGTAGAATAATTTGGTAAGGTATCTGTAATGCGCGCATTTTTTGCGCGGAGCTTCTCAATTGCTGCATTGCAGCATTATTTGTACTTGTTTATTAGGTAGATAAAATTAGATAATTTTAAAAAGAATATGATATTCAAACATGGAACTATCACTTCACTTAAACGTTTATTTTAATCCCTTAAAGCTCTGTGACAACGTTGTACATCAGAAAAGTTATTTTTATTAGAAAATTTGAAAACAATGTGATTTTGTTAAAACAAGAAAAAAATGCACAACATCAAGTCTAACATTTTCCCCATTGCTATATGAGCAATGCATATCTACTAGACGGCGCGTTCGCTATCTTAAATACACACGCTATTAAACCGTATAAACAGGTGCTAATCTTGCTGCACTCCATTATATTTTGAAATGTAAACGATCTTATCGATAAAACATATTTTATCTGCTAGTGGATAAGTGTTTTAAGCAAAAAATGATACAAATCGGAGCATTTAGCAGGTGCACGATGACGAAGTATCACTGTTACCATGATAACTGTGAATGCTATTTTATCGTACACGACGGTGCGGCAATTACGGAAAATATCCTTTTATTTTGTTGATATGTTTTGCAATCAATGTTTATTGGTCAATAAAGGAAGGTCTTTAAAAGCATGGTCAATAAAGGAAGGTCTTTAAAAGCATTAATAATTATGTTGATAGTATTTTGTATCATACATGACAACAAACCAAAAATTAATTCAATCAGGATGTTTATAAGTGTGAGATATATGATTTGATTTATATACATATAGAAGATAGTTGATTGCTCTAGAACACTGATCATAAACGAACCAACACGTGCATATTTAAGTGCAGCTTTCGATATTAATAGCCGTTTGGCCGTTAGGCTGAAAATGTCCCTGTTCAGATAGGACATAGTCAATTCAAGGACATATGTTACGGCCGATCTTTATGTAAAAGGCCCCTTTACACGATTAAAGGGTGTCCGCAAATAAGAGATGGCAGAACGAGCGTGAGGTTGCTACTCCAGAAGACAAACTTAGAAAACAGTGACATAATGATTAAAGTTCTCTCACGTACAAAAATATAATTTCTTAGCAGAAATTTTTAATTACTTTTTACTTGCCTCGATCAAACATGAAATTTAAAAGTTTAACGTCAACACAGTGATGATATGCAATAATGTCTGTGTAACAAATATGTATCTTAATCATACACATAAAGAAAAATATTCCAAGTCTATCTCGAGACTGGAAACTGTGAGCGTACAATTGAGTAATCATAAGATTCAATTTCGACATAGGACAATTTTGTGCAAAAAAACTAGAGAAAAGATTTTAACATGCGGATAATTTATCGATCTGCTTAAACATGGTGTACTCGTTCGGAATAACCAAACCCCATACAGGAAAAAGAAATCCTGCACCCGTTTGTCAATGTCACACCACCGCATTTTAGATCGCATACGTGTCGGTTTGATAAAGCATTTAATTTACAAGTTTTATATTAGAATTCTGACACTGTTAACGTTACCAATGACTATTGCAGACTACTTTTAGATTTTGTCCACACTTCCAACTGTACAAGTGAACATCATACAGTAATAAAAAAGTCAGTAATGTGTTCAAGTTTATTATGGATGATCTCATCATCGTAGTGAAATGAAAGTTCCGTTTCTCTGCAGCTGATCAAACGGCATTACAAAGGTATGTAAACGAACGAAAACGAAAAATACTTATGGCAGCATTAAGGTTACATTACAGTAATGTTTTCCTGCCAAATAAATTCTAACACATCGACAAATATTGTAACAAATCGGTTATTCACGGAACATTATTTTTTTTCAAATTCTTTGGCATTATAATATTTACAATCGCTTATCCTTTATTGCTTTGTACTAACTTTCGTTTATAACTGGTAAAAATTATTGAATACCGAATATTGTGAAAAATTACGTTCCAGAACAGAAATGACCGATTCTTTTACAATATTAGCCAAAGTTAGAATTTTTTGGCGAGACAGCATTACATTATGACTACCTTAAGCGGTACAAATAATTGTTTTTTTATATCATACATTAAAGGTTTTTGTTGGTGGGATTTTATTAACGATGAATTTCACGGAAGAAATTCAACTCAACTAGCTGTCTAACTCAGGTTACAACTAAGGCGATAAAAATATGCACGAAACTCAAGAATGACGGTGTAATCTTTTTAAAACAGTTTTATACAAACAGACGATTGTTGAGACCGTCACTCATTTATAACAAGCACAATCAAAACGTTTAAATCTCAAAAGAAGGCTATATATTAACATTTTTAGGAATTTTAAACAGGAAGTTTTTAACAGGAAGTTTTATTAAACATTTGATATGGGGTTTTAGGACTTGTTGTTAATATTATTTCTTTTTAAAGTAACTTGAAGTATATTTGTTATTTTGAAAGAAATAAGATTTGAAGGAATATTAGTACTTGAACTTCGGTAAGTTATCGGTTTCTATTTCCATGGCTTAAAATATACTACTTAACTTCCATTAGTTGATATTTATATTATCACAAGTATAAAACAGATTTCTTTCCAATTTTTTAATATTCTGATTCAGAAATGTTTTGACATGCATCCGTGTTGACTGTTCCATTAAAAGCATGCACCCCTATATTTTCATGTTTTTATGGGGTGACCAATCACATGGCTTTTCTTTACAGCGACATTACCGGCTTATTTTCATTCAGTGGCTTACATTTCTTACATCTGTAACTTTAATATGGCGGGTGCTTACATAAGGCGGCATAAGAGGAGCAGAGTTAAAGAAGGCTGTAGGAATGGTGCAGCAGGGCCCACCTTCCGCCAGCTTGGTGCGGCGCTTGGTGTACACCATACCGTCATCACCAGAGCCTAGGAGAGATACCGGCTACATGGTGCACCCGTCAATAGGCATGCTGGAGGTCGGCAAAGTGTCACAACATCAGCTAAGGACAGGTTTTGGTCGTTCAAGCACGCCGTGCAAGGTTTTTGGATGCAGCTTCTCTTCGAAATGGCCTTACTAAAATTGTGGGGGTCAGTGTTTCCACGCAGATGGTACGTAGAAGGCTACATGAAGGTAATTTGCAACGAAAATCCCTTGCAAACGTATCCTCTTGACGTGAGACATCACGAAGCCAGTTTGGAATGGACCATGGAGCATACACTATGAACCATGCCTGACTGGAGACACGTTCTGTTCACTGATGAGTCCAGGTTCTGCCTAGACTACACAGATAGGTTTCAGGCTGCTAATATTGCTGAGCATGACCGCCACGGAGATGGGTTAGTTATGGTCTGAGGAGGCATCAGCTTTGAACCAACTGGCCTGGTTGTGCTAAAAAGAGGCACATTGACAGGTCAGCGATACATAGACATCATCTTAGACAACCAGGTTAGGTTGTATGGTGAAGCAGTCGGCGCTCAGTTTATTCTAATGGACGACAATGCTCGCCCCATAGGGCCAGGGTGGTTAAGGACTACCTAGAAATGGAGCCTATTGAACACATGGACTGGCCAGGTCGCTCATCTGACTTAAATCCAACAGAAATTACAGAACACATGTGGAATGAGCTGTAGGTTAGAATTTCAGCTCGTCAGCTGCAACCCAGAACCATCCAGGAGCTTGGAGTCATGTTGGTCCAAGAATGTGTAGCCATACTCGTTAGAACGATCAGAAACATAAAAGGGCGTATAAAAAATTTCTGCCAAGCTTCCATTGATAGTCACGAGTCACACACACGGTATTAAGTCTTAAATCCAATTTAACAAATTTTGAAAACATGCTGCATGTTCTGAAATCTTCAAAGAGGGTATCATCCTCTTCTCTACCACAAAATCAATGTAAAACTAATTAATATGGTTCAATTCGTCCTTCAGCAGAATTGATAAAACAGTAAATCAACATTTAAAACCTTCCACACGGCATTAATAAAGTTGTCACCAAAATATTCACACTCAAACATATGATGTTTAGCAAAAGTTGAGCAAGTATATATTTGACATTCAAAATATGACACTATTTTTAATCAATATCGTTTTTTATTTGACGTTCAATAATATCAATACTATCATATAAATACACATCTGCTTAAAGTAATATTTTATGCATGAGGTTTCCATGGACTGCACTTGCAGTGCAATGGTCTTTTAATGACTCGTACCAGTTATTATTTCTATTTTACTTTACGCATATTAAATTTCATTGAAACAAACACAAGAGACAAAGGCTAGATTTTATTCACACCACATCAACATCACCAATTTAAATGCAATCAAAATTCATGGTAATAATTCAATCAAAAGCAAAAGCAAAATCATCATCATCGTCATCTTCATAATCACTTCCAACATCACCACTAACCACCAACAAAAACAATAATTATAAACAACAACAACACAAGTAACCTCATCTTAAAAACATTATCACAAGCACGACAGTAACAGGCCAAACATTATTAGCATCATTCTACTATCATCATAAAGATAACCACTATCATACTATCAACCCTGTAACAACGACATTATTACCGACAAAACTTTGTGATTAAAATCACCACCACCCGTACTTTAATTACCATAACCACCGTCAATATCAACCACATCACTAACTGGATAAGAAGTCATCGACTCTAGCCCCTCGACCACGGAGGCGGTTGTAACATTGTAAAAATATCATTATTTCCATCTGCGGTACAATTCGAGGACGCATAATTATCATCATCAGCACTTGTAACAACAATACCACTTTCACTGTAGTAACATAATCAACATTACTATACGTTCATTTTCACAGCCACAGCCATCAAAGAAAGTAACATGACGACGGCAACAGTTCATCCATTCTTGACAACAGTCAGTCCATTATTAACAACGGTCAATCCATTGTTGACAACAGTCGATCCACAGTTTTGTAACGAAGATGCATGGAATATATCTAAAGATTATATTCACTGGTTCTTGATTCCAGCTGTAAGTAACTACACTAGATACATATTATTTTCATATTGGAAACTTATCAAGTTGAGCATTTTATCAATGTCTCTTAGAAATAAATAATTACATTTGATTATAAAACATTTACCAATTAAAATTGTTTTGTTATCATATAAGTTACATTCTTAACTTCGAATTGATTAACGTATGCTATTACGTTGTATCAAAAACTTATTTCATGTTAGAGGTAAAATTATCGTCATGATTTACGTTATTGTAAAGGTCGCCATCATTCTGTTATTGTGTTTTATGGAAAAGAGAAAGGCGCTAAAACCAAACATATTGGGAGGACGCCCAGCTGTTGTACGGTAAAATGTCTTCTTTTTGTGCCCCCGCTTTAGTGTCGGGCATTTAGATTTACCCTTGTCCGTCCGTCCGTCCGTCCTTCCGTCCGTCCGTTCTCTTTTGTGTCGCACGTAACTCAAAAAGTATTTGACCTAGAATCACGAAACTTTACAGGAATGTTGATCAGCATGTGTAGTTGTGCACCTGGGTATTTTCGTCTGGATATTTTTAGTATTTTTAGAGTTATTGCCCTTGACTTAGTACAAATTTGCAATTTTCTACTTGTGTCGCACGTGACTCAAAAAGTATTTGACCTAGAGTCATGAAACTTTACAGGAATGTTGATCAGCATGTGTTATTGTGCACCTGTGTATTTTCGTTTGGATATTTTTAGTATTTTTAGAGTTATTGCCCTTGACTAAGTAAAATTTTGCAATTTTCAACTTGTGTTGCATGTAACTCAAAAGTATTTGACCTAGAGTCATGAAACTTTACAGGAATATTGATCAGCATGCTTAGTTGCGCACCTGGGTATTTTTGTCTTGATTTATTTAGTATTTTTAGAGTTATTGCCCTTGACTTAGAAAAGTTTTGCAATTTTCAACTTGTGTCGCATGTAACTCAAAAAGGATTTGACATAGAGTCATTAAACCTTACGGGAAGGTTGCTCAGTATATTTAGTTTTGCACCTGGGTTTCGCTTGTGGATTTATCCAGTATTTGTAGAGTTATTTCCATTGACTTTGTAAAAACCGTTTCATTATGTTATTATTTGTTCCTTGAGTGCTTGAGTTAGAATCAACCAACTTTACAGAATAATGAATAATGATCAACATCACTAAATTATAGATAGGAATAATGATTCACATCACTGTGAAGCTATGCACCTGGGACTTTGTATGTGGATTGTTTTCAGTTTTGTTAGAGTTATTGCCCTTGACTTACAGTAGTATAAATTTGCAATTTTCAACTTGTTCATGCACAGCCCAACGTATTTCACTTGTAGGCCTAAAAGTTTACAAGAATGTTGGTCAGCATGTGTACTTATGCACCTTGGGGTTTGCTTGCGGATTTATTCAGTATTTGTAAAGTTATTGCCCTTTACTAAGTAAAAGATTTTTAGTTTTCAAAAAATATTTGACCTAGAGTCATAAGATTGACAGAACAGTGGCGCGGTGGGGGCACCCGTATCCTATGGACACATTTCTAGTTTCTTTATGCACTATTTTCATCTCGTGATTTTGTAATGCATTATATCATTGGTTATTTCATTAAATAATTTTTTAGATTTGATCCCCTTATAAGACATTAAAAAGCTCATTATTGTTAGAACATGAACACACAGTATTTGATTGAATTATGCTTTCGACAAAAGATTTCAAAGAAAATATGTAATAGTTTGGTATGGTTACCAAAGAAAACAATATAAACACATGCATATATACACACCCACATTTAGCAATATCCTACTTAATATTATTAATTTCTAGACCGCTTGGATTTTTGGACGAGCCTTCTAACCGCTGGGGTGTTATGCTTGCATTTGGGTCTGTGACCGGAAACATACTAGCTGTTACATTGAAATTGGTCTCAAAAGAGCTAGACTGGCCGATCTGGGGAAAAAGTAAGTTGATTTTGGTTGTAATTTTAATAGAAGTCACCTTTGTTTTTATAAAAATGTCAGTAAGTAAAAATATTTTTACTACCAGTTCAACGACCCCTGTAATTGTTCACTTTCTCTATTTTAATCATTTGACAAAAGGCAGGCGTACGGTGTATCCGGCAAAAAATTATTGTATTCATTATTTCATGTACATTAATAATGTCAAATTGGTTGTTTTTATTTTTTTAAAAGCGTTTTAGGCTCAATATATTCGAACTTGCAACATTTTCTTTTGTACCATGAGTTACTCCTGAAGGTTCCATTTTGATTGATTTGATACATATTATATCATGATGTTAAAGTATTTGTTAGAGCATGGTGTTTATCAGTACGTATGAAATTTTTTCAGTTTTTATGGTATACATTTTATGTTTGGAGACTAGTGTTGTATGTTACCCCTTATTTGCCTGCATGACGACACGTCATAAATTGGTTGGTGCTATAGCGGGACTTCTTTATTCTCTAGGATGGTAAGTTTTTCAGGATGAACACCCGTAAATATTTACAATAATAGTCTTATTACAATAATGATAACTTAGTCATAAATACCCTTTACTGCATGAGCATATTGTGAAAAATGACCGTTTTCATTGAAAACCCTGCTGTTAAAAGTTCAAACTGCTACGAAACAATGAAAAAAGCTTCAATACTGATGGAACTTGGCACAAATGTTGACTGGACCAAAATCTCTGTAACAGCATGCACAACCTTAAATTGTATGTAACCATGGCAACGGGGAACGTCTCGGAATCTTTTTTTCCCATCAAAACTGATTTCAAAGTGCTGTCACTGGATTGAGACAGAGTAAAAGGCTTTTAAGCAATATATTACACGTTAGCTTACAATCGACCAATCGACTTGAGGCCATTTATAACATAAAAAAACCAAATTGAGGAATTCAAGCATTTTGCGGAATTTACAAACATATTTTTTTTTAAATTTGATAAATGATAAACAGTTTATATATGTAACACTACTGTTAGTGACATTTTATTTAGTAATATAATACCTTACATACATAAATATGTTCTTTCCTTATCTATTCCATAGTCAGCGACAAAAAGAGTATAGTTAAAGTCTGAGTATTTTTTGTCGGCCTGCTTAAATTTAGCGGCTTGTTAATATGAAGAATATTTTATTTTATTTATTGTTGTTGTTAATTTTTCTTTGTTTTTCTTTTTGTTGTTTTGTTTTGTTTTAGGTTTGCTTTTGAGATGGTACAAGTTGTCACAGAAGGAATTTGCTTTGGTTTAAACCAAGTAAGGACGTAATTAAAACGAATGATTTCAAATTAATATTGTTCTATTCTGAATAAAAGTAAAAAAGTACGATCCTAATTTTATCTATGTGAGACAGTGGTTTATGCATTCTAAAAACCGTACTGTTCATTTTCTTTGAGGCAATCTATATTTTTTTATCATAGATCATCATCATAAACAGCAATATTGTCTGATTAGTTTAAAATGGAACTGGCTATTATCAGAAAATAAGATGAAAAGATGAGGAATCTCTTCAAATTGTACAATTCAAATAGAACATCAAAGTTTCGGTTATGCTACACATATATGTAAAATAACCGCGGAAGTCCTTTTTATATTGTTTATTGTTTGGTATATATTGTAAATTCTTAATAACAGTTCACGAATCATAAGTCCACAGTTGTTTATGTAAACAACATTGTTAAATTGTTCAAGTTGAACAATTATTTATTTGTCTGAAGATAACAGTTTCTGAAAGACTATTTACTTCTATTTTCTCTTTAATGTTATTTAATAATCCTTCGGATATGTTGCTGCTTTGGGAAGTCGTTGTATATGTTATGTGCAGGTTTCATGACCTCTGATCCTCTTTCAAAGTACATTTTGTATAGTTCTACCCATTGTTTCTTGTTTAAGACTTAAGCTTTTTTGTCGAGCCCTTAACGGAGAGCTCGACATAATTGTCACAATGGCTGTTCGGTGTATTTTCTTACGTGCGTCCGTCCGTCTGTCCGAGCAACACTTGGTTTATGTGGGTATTGGAACAATAAGAAACAGTAAATTTTCTTTGATCCTATACATTCCATAAAGTTTTATGTCACTTTTTTGGTTATATTTGGCTTTTAAGAACAATTAAATACAGTAAAATCATTATTATTCGTGGGACACGTATTTTCGTGGTTTTCGTGGGTAGGTCAATTCACGAATTTAAGATCCGACGAACTTTTATCCCAACAAATACGTCTTACCCAGTCTCTGTTCTATATATTACAAACATGCGTCGGCTCTTTTCCGGCCGGTATTTCATGAAATGTATGTAAGTACAGGCAGATAACCAGGTTAGTGACATAATAAATCCGTTTGCAATATTTAAGAAACTTGAAAGAAAACTCGACTTTATGTCCTCAATTTACTATCACAAATGTCGCATATACATACTTGATCGTTGTAGTCTACTAGGACTTGATTGTGTTAACAAGAATACTTGACATAATCGAGTAAATATGGGAACCCAGGCAGTGAAATAATTAGCGCTAATAAAAATTGTCAGTTTGCTCTTATTAATTTAAAAAAAGTCTTTGATATTAATGTCGTAAGTACACAAAACTATAAAAAATACGATCGCTAAAACAGATTTATTGTACTTTCTTTTGTCGTTTTTAAATGATACAGTTTATATGAATTTTAATCTGTATTTGTGCGAATGCTATTCCGTAAACATCAAGGACGCCACCGACTTTTACAAGATCCACATATACTCGTGTTATTTACCGAGAATAATTTATATGCATGTAAAACACAGTCGCTGTGACGTTGCGTGTAGTTACTGTCAAATATGTTAAGACCAATTCAGGGTGTAAACTTTTAAACTCGCTGGTTAAAACGTGCCAGGTGTCGTATAAATTATGCGGTGTTTACATCGGCGAATTACAGGGGCAGTGTGACCAATGGAGGTGCATATCATGTCACATAAATGTGATAATTGCAGTCAATTATGCTATATTAGAGTTATGCCCAGAGGCAAGGATTAAATTTATTGACAACCGCTGTGTGACAAGTAAAGATATGTACATGTTGTAAGTAAAAATGTTCGGCGATTAAGATTACTTTACATTAGGTTACTGAATTTTTTTAACAAGAAAACGAAAATCAACGAATTTAAGAACCCACGAAAATGCCCGTTTTGATAAAACCACGAAATTTCATAACGCTGAATATAAGTGAATTCGCAGTAGTCACATAAAACCAAAATGTTAGAACGTGCGGCGGTTATGATTGTCCGGGACGTAACTCCATCATTAGTAGGCAGAATTTAAATTAACTTAGCACAAATGTTAACAATAATGAGGCGGCGTGTCATGCGAAATAAACGTGTGACTAGCTCAAATGTCAAGGTTATATTTTCAGGTCAAATGCAAAAAAATATTGACTTAAACAGCTTGTCAGCACCATAACTAAATAAATAGTTGGTGGGTTTTCAAATAACTCTGCACAAATGTTCAAATTTATAAGATGGCGCATCGCGCGCAGGAACCGTGTGGCTAGATCAAAGAATAAGGTCATACTTTAAGGTCAAATGCAAAACAAATGGCCTGAAACAGCTTGTTCGCAACATATTTCTATCACTAGCAGGTGAAATTTCAAATTAACCTGGTACAAATGTTAATTAGTCGCGCGTAAGAGCCCTTAGGCTAGGTCAATGATCAATGTCTCAATACTGTCCGGTTAATGCTTGTCCAGGTTGTAACTCTGTCACTAGTAGGCAGAATTTAAAATAACGTTAAAGAAGTTTTTACAATAATGAGAAGGCGTATCATGCAAAAGAACCGTGTGGCTAGGTCAAATGCAAAAAATGTCTCAAATAGTTTGTCCGCATTATCACTAGCTGATGGAATTAGTTTCAAATAACCTAGCACAGATGTTTAACAACATGCTACGGCATGTCACGCGTAAAACAAAAAAAAACATGTGGCTAGATCAACAGTCATGTTTTAAGATAAAATGCAAAATAATGATCAAAGTTCAAATGCAAATTAATGGTCTTAAAGAGCTTGTCCGCACCTTTACTCAGTCACTAGCTCATTAAATTTCAAATGACCTGGAACAAATTTTTTAACATCATAAGATGGCATATCGCGCGCAAGAACCATGTGGTTAGGTCAAAGTCAATGTCATGCGTAAGGGTAAAATGCGTAAAATGGTCTCAAACACCTCCTTTGCACCATAACCCTATCACTAACTGGTGGAGTTTAAAATAACCTGGCACAAAGTTTCAACAATCTAAGTTGGCGTGTCGTGCGCAAGAACCGTGTGGCTTAGTCAAAGGTCAAGGTCTTACTTTAAAGGTCAAATGCAGAAAAAACGTCCTAAACTAGTTTGTCAAATTACCTGGTTTAAAACAATGAGATCGCGCCGCTTTTCATGGAAGGGCACTTAGAAAATGAATGTTCCATTATAAACACATCTGCGAATAATTCGAAATTCGTGCTAGAGGCATGGACAGTACCTTGTATTTAGCACTTACGTCCATAAACTAATTAATGAAACCGCTTCTGCAACATTACAAGCTGCACATGCCGTCCTTTGCTTTTCTAGAGATTCTGGTCTTTTGGTGTGTTTTTTCAGGAATGCTATCAGACCAAATAAATGAAGAAAACTCTTACATAAAATGTATCGATTTCTCGAAAGTCCATCTTTATTCTAGGTATATATAAGAAGGGAAAAACACAATTTTTCGATAACCTGTTTTATTTGAACAAGCCAGTCGCCAAAATAAAGAAAACAGCATACTGAAACTTCCGATTTTATTTCTGTGAACACTTTTACCTTTAGCTACAGTAAGAATCATAATATTTTCTTCTTTATGGCCTAAAATGAAATGAAAAGCATTAATATCTAATTTTGAGTACAATCTAAAACAAACAATTTTATTGACTCGCGGGGATTAAGATATTCTAATAAAAAGGCATTATGTGTATGACTAGTTTGAAAATATTAAGTCTAAAACTTTTATAACCTCTTCTCACCACATATTCTAAGAAACCACTATCCCGAACCCCCACTCCATCAGACTTCTTCATAATCTTTTATTTTTTCACCCAGGCAGTGAAATAATTAGCGCTAATAAAAATTGTCAGTTTTCTCTTATTAATTTAAAAAAAGTATTTGATATTAATGTCGTAAGTACACAAAACTATAAAAAATACGATCGCTAAAACAGATTTATTGTACTTTCTTTTGTCGTTTTTAAATGATACAGTTTATATGAATTTTAATCTGTATTTGTGCGAATGCTATTCCGTAAACATCAAGGACGCCACCGACTTTTACAAGATCCACATATACTCGTGTTATTTACCGAGAATAATTTATATGCATGTAAAACACAGTCGCTGTGACGTTGCGTGTAGTTACTGTCAAATATGTTAAGACCAATTCAGGGTGTAAACTTTTAAACTCGCTGGTTAAAACGTGCCAGGTGTCGTATAAATTATGCGGTGTTTACATCGGCGAATTACAGGGGCAGTGTGACCAATGGAGGTGCATATCATGTCACATAAAATGTGATTAATTGCAGTCAATTATGCTATATTAGAGTTATGCCCAGAGGCAAGGATTAAATTTATTGACAACCGCTGTGTGACAAGTAACGATATGTACATGTTGTAAGTAAAATGTTCGGCGATTAAGATTACTTTACATTAGGTTACTGAATTTTTTTTAACAAGAAAACGAAAATCAACGAATTTAAGAACCCACGAAAAATGCCCGTTTTGATAAAACCACGAAATTTCATAACGCACGAATATAAGTGAATTCGCAGTAGTCACATAAAACCAAAATGTTAGAACGTGCGGCGGTTATGATTGTCCGGGACGTAACTCCATCATTAGTAGGCAGAATTTAAATTAACTTAGCACAAATGTTAACAATAATGAGGCGGCGTGTCATGCGAAATAAACGTGTGACTAGCTCAAATGTCAAGGTTATATTTTCAGGTCAAATGCAAAAAAATATTGACTTAAACAGCTTGTCAGCACCATAACTAAATAAATAGTTGGTGGGGTTTTGAAATAACTCTGCACAAATGTTCAAATTTATAAGATGGCGCATCGCGCGCAGGAACCGTGTGGCTAGATCAAAGATAAGGTCATACTTTAAGGTCAAATGCAAAACAAATGGCCTGAAACAGCTTGTTCGCAACATATTTCTATCACTAGCAGGTGAATTTTCAAATTAACCTGGTACAAATGTTAATTAGTCGCGCGTAAGAGCCCTTAGGCTAGGTCAATGATCAATGTCTCAATACTGTCCGGTTAATGCTTGTCCAGGTTGTAACTCTGTCACTAGTAGGCAGAATTTAAAATAACGTTAAAGAAGTTTTTACAATAATGAGAAGGCGTATCATGCAAAAGAACCGTGTGGCTAGGTCAAATGCAAAAAATGTCTCAAATAGTTTGTCCGCATTATCACTAGCTGATGGAATTAGTTTCAAATAACCTAGCACAGATGTTTAACAACATGCTACGGCATGTCACGCGTAAAACAAAAAAAAAACATGTGGCTAGATCAACAGTCATGTTTTAAGATAAAATGCAAAATAATGATCAAAGTTCAAATGCAAATTAATGGTCTTAAAGAGCTTGTCCGCACCTTTACTCAGTCACTAGCTCATTAAATTTCAAATGACCTGGAACAAATTTTTTAAACATCATAAGATGGCATATCGCGCGCAAGAACCATGTGGTTAGGTCAAAGTCAATGTCATGCGTAAGGGTAAAATGCGTAAAATGGTCTCAAACACCTCCTTTGCACCATAACCCTATCACTAACTGGTGGAGTTTAAAATAACCTGGCACAAAGTTTCAACAATCTAAGTTGGCGTGTTGTGCGCAAGAACCGTGTGGCTTAGTCAAAGGTCAAGGTCTTACTTTAAAGGTCAAATGCAGAAAAAACGTCCTAAACTAGTTTGTCAAATTACCTGGTTTAAAACAATGAGATCGCGCCGCTTTTCATGGAAGGGCACTTAGAAAATGAATGTTCCATTATAACACATCTGCGAATAATTCGAAATTCGTGCTAGAGGCATGGACAGTACCTTGTATTTAGCACTTACGTCCATAAACTAATTAATCAAACCTCTTCTGCAACATTACAATGTGCACATGCCGTCCTTTGCTTTTCTAGAGATTCTGGTCTTTTGGTATGTTTTTTCAGGAATGCTATCAGACCAAGTAAATGAAGAAAACTCTTACATAAAATGTATCGATTTCTCGAAAGTCCATCTTTATTCTAGGTATACATAAGAAGGGAGAAACACAATATTTCGATAACCTGTTTTATTTGGACAAGCCAGTCGCCAAAATAAAGAAAACAGATGTATATTTGTAATCTTAAGCATACTGAAACTTCCGATTTTATTTCTGTGAACACTTTTAACTTTAGCTACAGTAAGAATCATAATATTTTCTTCTTTATGTCCTAAAATGAAATGAAAAGCATTAATATCTAATTTTGAGTACAATCTAAAACAAACAATTTTATTGACTCGCGGGGATTAAGATATTCTAATAAAAAGGCATTATGTGTATGACTAGTTTGAAAATATTAAGTCCAAAACTTTTATAACCTCTTCTCACCACATATTCTAAGAAACCACTATCCCGAACCCCCACTCCAGCAGACTTCTTCATAATCTTTTATTTTTTCAAGGCACACCCTCTGCATACAACAATGTCGATTTTTAACCTTTTAAAGATGGATCATCTTACACCAGAATCACACATACGTCCTATATCCATAACGTCTATAAAAATCCTTCATACTGTCGTAAGAACAACTTCACCTGGAATTGGACATCATTGTTACTTTTATCGTGTGGATGCCTTAAATTTTGCCCGTACATATAATCAAAAATGCTACATTTTCGCTTCTGTATGATCGTTTTAAACGACTTAATTTTTGTGTGTACTTGTTTGTGGTAATTTTGGTTTCTTCTTTTTGATCTTTTTTTCAATGTAGGTGGTTCTAGCTTACTACTTAAATACTGTATTATCACCCTAAGGATAATATGGTGTCAGCTTTTTAATTTTTTTTCTTTTGACGTCTTGTCTCTGTGATATGCAAGCTTCATAACCTATGATCTCCTTTCAAAAAGATATTTTCTTTAGCTCCTTTCATTGTTTGCTCGTTAAGAGCACACACCTTTCTTTATGTTTCATGGAAAACATGTCAAATTGAAGGTTCCATGATTACCATCGTATGAAAACAATTCCGGATCCTTCTCAGTTCAAAATTAACAGTTTTCGTATTTAATGATTAATTCTGCTTCAGCCGGTGTAAGGGGTTGGAAACTAGTTTGCATTTTCCAGTACCGTCCATGAACTAGCTGAATCAAACCGAGCATGCAATATTTTCAATTTTGTCATTTTGGGCGTTCTTTAGGGATTCTGTGTTTCTTCTTTTTAGATGCGACCGCCTTGTAAATAAAGTTTGATCCTACATTTCAGTATCATTTATTGCACTAGAATCGAACGCGAATGAACGATCTATCCTCATATTTTTTTAGATTAAAAAAACATGGTTACATGAGTTTAGTTCATTATATGATAACATTGATGCATGTATATTTATCTAGATGACTGACTTCTACATTCCGTCTTCTATGCGAATCAGACTATGACCAAGGAGGTAAACTCCTATGTAAATATCAACCACTATTCAGATAATGTTTTACTATGTAATATTTAAAAAATGAATTTCATTGTGTTCATTTTTAATTCTATCTTAAATTTTAATGTGAACCATTTTGATTGCTCTTATTTCTACTTTTAGGTTAACGTTAATTGGTTGGTCCTTCTCCTTATGACAGAATTACCTGTGACAATTTGTAACGCCTTAGTAGTTTTGAAGTTTTGTTTGAAACTATTCAAATGTATTAGAAAAGGAATCTACAAGATTAGTCCAGAGGTATTACATTTCTTTAACTTATAATTATCCAGCAAATGTAATTGCAAAGAAGTCAAAGCATGTGATGTGTTCTTTATTGTTAAAAAAGATTATATGCGAATCATAAATTTAGAAGTATGGGAAATTAATTTTCATACCAGTGAAAGGAAAGTGTCCTCAAATGATATAACTGTTTAACAGATTAAGCCTCGTTATAGTTACATAGTTATGTTGTGACTTTGTCCATCTGTTACACAAAATCAATGGCTCGTACCTCTTTACTCTTTTTTTCCAATAAAACATCCATGATTTACGATTCCGAATATTAATCTTACTGTCAATCAATCTTCCCCAATCATCATACTATAACCCCTTTATGTACTTGCAAATTGTTGTGTTTTAATTTAACAAATTAAATATATATCATGTAAAAGTTCACGTACCAATAGCTTCATACTGTACAAACATTGATGCTGGTTATCATGACGCCGCCGACTTTTTTCAAGTCTGTGTGACCATATTAAAGTAACTACAATGTGTTCATTCAGTAATAGTTATGCATCCCTGTGTCAATGACCGTTTGCTTTGGTCTATATTTTACTTATGATTATTAAATGGGTACTTTCTTCAGGGACTGTGTATAACTTGTTATACTTGCTTTACAATATGCATGTATAAAAAAGAGTTTTACCAAGAATGAAAAAAGAGTTTTACCAAGAATGAAATATTCAAATCCATTCATTTTGTGTTTATATAAGAAAGTTAAACCAAAAGTAAACTGACAGTTATAAATATGATATGAACTTATTTCAGAGCAAAGTAGTATAAATGCTTTGACCAAAACTAATCGTTTTATTTCTTTCGGCTTACAAGAATTCGTTTTATAGCTTTAACAGATTTTTTTCTATTTTTGTTATTATTTTCTGGATTATTAAAAATGACTTTTCTGTTATTGTTTGTTAGTCACATTTACAATGAGCTATTCTTATAAAAACGCGGTCGTTTCACGGTAAAATAGTAAAAAGGTACCCCTTACATCCAACAAAAAACACACATATCGCAGTAAATCAGTAATGAGAGATTTTCTTTTGTTACTCGCGTACATTCTGATTCTAATCAACTACCAATTACTTTTAATTTGCCTAAAATGCAAAAGCCAAGATCAATCCCGATTCTGTTGATATATTTGGCATAAATACTTAAAAGTAGGAAAAAAATAAGCTTGTTTTTCAGAACATTTGATTATTCAAACTTTGAATTTCAATGTAATGACAGCTTTTGTCGTACAAAAGCCATTTCATTGTTAAGTGATACAAATGTGTCATTTGTCTTTAGACATATCTTCTTTAAGATCTTACTAGGTTAATCTCTTATGTACGTTTAATATTTCGTCCTTATTCCTCACTTAAACATTTTATAATATTATTATGTCGTTTACCCCTATTAATGACAAGTAAAAAGTATTACAGTCCTATGCACCAATTTCTGAGTAAATGACTATAAGCAGTCACATGACTTTTGGAATATTTATGTGGAATCCTAGTTATTAATTAAACAAATTTGTGGCTGGTCATGATCTTTAGCAAAATTCCTTTCCTTCAATTTCATATGTGTAAAGCAAATTCATTTATTTGCAGTATGTTAAAAATGAATAATTTAAGTTTAATTACTGGTACCAATCATTTATTGATAGAAATATAACGGTTCAACAGGTAGATTTAAGTGACATATAGGCAATCAAACATTTACACTGCTTCAAGTTTTGGTATTAATGATATTCAGTTTGCAATATATACGAGTTCATGTGCTTTATTTCTTTGCCAGACTTAAAAAAGTTTTTGATTAATTATTTTCTTTTGTATACTCTTTTAGGAACAAGTGAAACTATGTAGATCATTTCACCTAACATACGTAAAACATCTTATGAACCAACATTTATTGAACAACATGAGTGAAAGGTAAGAAGATAACCTTTACAAAAGAATTGCTGGATACTTTATGCGTCTGAATTAATGCAAATGCAAAGATGCAAATTTCAACATTATGAAAGTTTTCAGTATGACCATGTCTCGTATTATGTCGTTTTTTTCTTACACAACAAAAAAAAAGATATTCCATACACCTTTTGTTATTTCTGAGTAATTGTTTAAAGATAATACCATATTATAATAAACATAAATGTATCGGCCATTCTATCAAGATATTTTTGAGTCTTTTTTCCTATTTAAAGTATTACATGGACACAAAGGATACATCGCAAAATACTACGACCTGTACCAGGATTTAGGTTTCCAATTGGTGTCATGATAACAATATTTATGTCCGGTTTGCTCCTATATAGCGTAAGTAGTTTTGTATCGCGTGTTACTTTAAATAGCGGTGTTCAAGGGGACTTTCGGAATTAACGAAATTTACACTACAAGTCTTTTTTGTTTGAGCAATTTTACAAAGAATTTCATTTGACTAATTACTCATACCAAAGTATTTTTTTTCCTGTTCAAAAAAATTTTTAAAATTCCGGGGAAAAGAAATTTTTTTCATACCCCTCAAATTTTACAAAATTACGAAACCCCTAAACCTACAAATTTTTTCCCCGTGCTAGGGGCATTTTGAAATTTTTATAAAATTTTAAATTATTATGAAAGAATAAGTTACACTCGGCCATTTTAAAAATTGATTTTTTTTCACCTAATGATCGCCCATCATTTTTAAAAGTAACCAGAAAGAAGTTTTCCTTTTTGAAACAAATCTTTTGTTTTGAAATTTTAAATGATTGCCAGGCCCTTTTTTAAATATTCTTTCCTCATTTTGAAATTAATTTAAAAAAAAAAACATGTTTTGGGAATGTTTTTGGTTGGATATAATCTTTCGTATTGTAATACCCGTTTGGGTCCCCTTTTTCAAACAATCAATTGTTCCCTATCTAGAAAAGCCCGGCGGTTTTAAATGTTTTCCCCCGACTTCTTCAAAAAATGGGCTTTTGTCTTTTTTGAGTTTTTAAAAACTAAAAAAATATTGTCCATTAACAAAATAAGTGTGATGTTGCCAAAATTGGGCAACTTTGTTTTTCAACAAAATTTAAAAGGGTTTTTAAAAGATCTTATAAAAAGGGAAAAACAACTGAGTTTTTAATTTTTATTTTGATTTTTTATCTTTATGCCTAAAATTTTGGGCATATAAATATAAAAAACCCTAAATTTAAGGGGTTTTTGGTTTTTAAAATTTTCCCATTTTCTCTTTTTTTCAAGCATAAAGGGTAAACAAAGTTGAATCCACAAAAAAAATTTCCGTTGGGAAAGGGGGCCCAAAATTATTTTTTTATTAAAACTAATAAAATTTTCATTAAAAAATTTCCCTCTTTTTAAAAACAAAATTTTAAAATTTCCCCGGTAAAAAATAGAAAAAAAGGTTATTTACTCTTTAACCCAAATTTTTCACGGGTTTTTTTTTAAAGCCCCCAATGTTATTTGCTACTATAGCAGGGTACTCTGTGGTAAAAAGAAATATTTTTAAGGGCTTCCAATAAATTACAGGTAAGAAGAAAAACTAGTACTTTTATATTGTTTTAAAAAAAGTAAAAAAGCAGGCTACTTTTCAGAATTTAAAACTATTCCCCTTTGGTGGGCAGAAGGGTTTCCCAATAAACTTTTCTTTTTGGGCCCAAAAAAATTTGGCCAACTTTGGGCCCAAAATCCCAAATTTGCTAATTGGGGCAACGTTAAACCCAAACCCTTTTGGTACCTTTTGCCCCGCTGATTACAACTCTTTATCTTTGGCCCCTCTTTGGACAACCACTTTTTTAAAGGCCTCAGGGTTTTCAGTTCTGTAGATAATGCGTTTAGGCAGTCAGGCTTTCCAATGGGGGAAAAGATTTGAATGAGCCCCGTTACCCTATTTCTTTGAAAAGTTTTACATAAAAAGGGGTTAAATTTGTATTTCCCACCTAAAAAATTTTCCCGAGATCTTATTGTAAACTTTTAAAATTTGGCACTTTAGTAGACAGCTAACATAAAAACCTTGTATTAGCATAGGTTTTACCATAAAAGTGTGGATTTTTAAGGGTATAGGCGGGAGAAGTATTTTATTTTAAATTCATTGTCCGTTCTTTAAATGCTAAATGAAAAAAAATTGTGTTCAAAAAAATTTAAAAAATAAAAGAAAAAAAAGCATTTTTTTAAAATATTTTTTTTCCCCTTAAAATTAGCCTTTTAAACATCCCCTAAAATTAAAATGCAGTTTTCTGTCATCTAAATTTTAAATTTTTTTTTTTAAAGATAAATTTTGGGGATAAAAAATGAAATAAATTAAAAAAGCCAACAGTAGTTTTAATTCCCGAAATTTGGGCCCCAACTTTGGGCCCAAAAAAACATTTTTTTAAATTTTTCATTTTCTTTTTTGGGCCCCAAATTTCAGAAAATTTGATTGGGGGAAAAACTGTTTGGTTGGGCAAGGGCCAAAATAAGTGCATTTACAATACAAAAATCCTAGTTTGCCCCAGTTGTCGTTTTTCCCGTGGGGGCCCAAAAACACATTTTTTACAGGGATTTTTTTTCCCCGGGTAAAACCCAAAATTTTATTTAAAAAGCCCAAGGGTTTCCGGGCACGTTACAAGGTTATACAAGAGATACTTAAATAAAAAACTTGAGATATCAGCAAACACAGTAGTGTTGAAAAAATTTAAGGCATTTTTTTTGATAAAGGTTTGGGAACATACATAGGCAAGTTAGATTGATTTTCACTTTAAATGTGTTTTTTATCAATTTTTAATTTAAACAACCAAAAATTTTTTATGGCAGCTATGTTTACCAAACACGCCCGAAAACAAAAAACACATGAAAAATATACAAAAAGGGAACACAAAAAATTTTCTTTTAACCCTTTACTTTATATACACCCCTTTTTTAAGCCTTTTTCCCCCCCCCTTTCTGTTGTCCAAATGGTAAAAAAAATGCCTTATTTGGGCCCCCCAAAACCTTTGGGTTTTTGGGTTTGAGAAATTTTGGTTAAAAAATGCCCGTTCTTTTTCGGCCCCCCCCCAAAACAAAAGTTTAACTCGGGGGGGTTTTCAAAAAGGGGGGAATGTGCCCCCTTTTTTTGGGGGGGTTTAAAAGGGGGGGGGAGCCCCCCTCATCCCCAAAAAAATTTTGGACTTGTGAGAGGCTATAAATGCCCCCAGATTGATGGGGAAGGGTAACTTTAAACCCAAACGCTGAAAAGCATTTGACCTATCTCAATCCTTTGAGAAGTTGCAGCACTTTGAAATTAATTTTAGGGGAAAAAAATAAAACGCAAAATAGTGTTTTTTGGCAATTTTGAAAATGTCCCCTCGTTGCCATGGTAACAAAAAATAAAAAGCCTAAAGCATTTTTGTTGCAAGGGTTAGGCCCAAAGTCAACTTTTGTCCCAATTTTTGATTAGTGTTAAGCTTTTTTTATAGTTTAAGTTTTTTGAACTTGAAAAGGGGGAAAATTTTTCTGAAAACAGCCATTTTTTCACAAAAGGTAAATAAGAAATGGGTTAAAATTTAAACTTTTTATTTTTTTTATTCTTTTTTTTAAATTGAAAATAAATAATTTTAATTAAAAATTTTAAAAAAGGGGTTTGTATGAATAATAAAAAAACTTTAATTTCGCTAGTAATTTAGTTTACTCAAAGCACAATTTTAAACCCCCCCCTTTTAAAATAAAAATTTTTAAAATGGGGAATTTTTTTAAAAATTATAAAAATTTTTTAAAATTTGATTTTAAATACAGGCAAGACATGCTCCTGTTTTTTAAAGGGGTGATAGAAGCTTCACCCCAAAAACGTTACGAAAACTTTTCCCCCAAAGATTTTTACATGGTAACTTTTCCGAAGTTCCCAAAAGTATTTTCTTCTTTTTCTCCATATTTTTTTTTTTAAGTTTACTGATAAATATACTTTGGCGCTTTCGTTAATACCTAATCGTTTTTGATATATACAAAATGTAAAAAAAAAAAACAAAAAAAAAAATTCTTCTTTAAATGGGTTTTATGCAATAATACACTTTAAATTTCGCAAAAAGTAGGGGGCCTTATTCACAGGAGAAAAAATAGGGTACAGCCGCCCCGGACGTTTTGCCCGGGGACCCTCTAAATACCTTTCCCCGGGGCTGTACGGCTGTGCTATCCGGCCGCTTGCACAATTTTTCCTCTTAAGAAAAATTTTCTGAACTTTAACTTTCTCCCCCACTATATTAAAAATTCCCGCCTCATATTTCTTGGGTTACAGAGAATGTAAATTTTAAACTCTGAGCATTTTGCAGCCATGGTCCCCCTTTTGTGCCCCCCAAATCCCAACAAGGTGAAATAATGTTCAGCCCTGCCCGGGAAAACCTTGTTTGAATATAGCTAAAAATACAAGAGAAGCAAAATTTAAAAGTTGAAAGGGGCACGGTTTCCCTTTTTTTTTTAAAATTTTTGTTCACGTGTGATTTTTTAGGGAAAATTTCAAAAAATTTTTTACAGTTTTTTCCCTTAAAGAAAATTTTATTGAATTGAATATTTGAAATTTAACCTTTTTGCACACCCTAAAGAAAAATCAAAATTTGGGTTTTTTAACAGGCTAGGATTGCGATGTATTGGTTCCCTCAAAAAACCGAATTTCGGGGGTAGGAAAAAAAACCCTTTAATGCTTATAATTATGATAAATCTATACAGAAAATAGATAAAAAGAAAATTATTGTTTTGTTGTAATGATTGATACTTCGTTTTTTTAGTTTTCCATTTTTTCAAATAAAAAAGTAAACCTATTTTTAAAAAGCCTTCTCGCCGTTGTGGGATTCGAAGTCACTATGTTTTTCCCATGAAGTTTTTTTACAAAAACTATTAAAAACTTTCCCCTTTAAAAATTTGGGCATTCATTTTAAATTGTAAAAAAAGGTATCACATAAAAAATTTCCCCCTTTTTTTTTTAAATAATTTACCAAAAAATTGAGAAAATTGATCGGGGCTGTCCGTTTGACAAGACTTGGTTTTATGTAGCAAATAGATATTTCCTGAGCAATATTACGTTAATGGCCCATTTTCAATTTTTCCCTATTTCGGAAAAATTTTTTTTGGGGTACCTTCTTTTTCTTTTTTCCATTGGGGGCCCAAAGTTTTTTGAAAAATAAAACTCCTTAATCAGGGAATCTACCCTTTACCGATATGGATACAGTTTTGAAATGGTAAGTAACTAAACATTTTTTATCATTACATTATCATTCTAACCCATACCCAAAAAATATGTTTAACAAAAGAGGGGTTTTCCACTCTGGGTTTAAAACCCCATATGTAAAGTGTGGTTGGGGCGGGCATGCCGCCCGCCTGCGTGCGTATGTGTGTGTGTTGGGTCTCCCAAAAAATTTTAAATTTAAAACAAATTTTAAAAAAAAAATATTGCTCGTGTTTAAAACATTTTCCAATACAAATT